TGTATGTATGTATGTATGCATATATTTTTATTTATTCTTTTATTTATACACACACACACAGAGGGGTTGTTCTGGCGAGGCGGCCGGGCTGAAGAAGTGCGGGGTCAAGGCTGCGGAGGTCCCTATTTTAGGAGCCTGACTAACTACGAGTGGTATTCCTTAGGATCCTAGAAGAGTATATACCCCCAAAGAAAATATTAAGAAGGCCCCCCCATATTACCCAGAAGCCTCAGAGTCGGATCCATGCATCATGCGCCCTGAGCATTCCTAGCCCTAAACCACCTAATCCCCGTAACGCTTCGGCTCAAGATCGCGGCTCGTAGGTTGCCACAGTATTGCAGCTTGGGCTTTAAATCCCCACAGAGCCAAGAGACGCCATGCAGATCAGGGCCTTCGACTCGGACTCGCAAAGTCAGGATGGTGCAGAGACGCCTCGCGGATACGAAAGCCGTGGAAATGTCTCGAACCTGAAGCTTGTCTTCGCTGAGCCCGAGCGGGGACTGCCATCATTGCGCCGCGGCTGGCGCACACCGGACCCCTCACCGGACCGAACCGGACTCCCCAAGTGCGCCCCCTATGCCGAGTATCTCGAGGAGACTGAAGAGGCTTTGGATGTGGGTCGTGGGAGGCAAACAGACGTGCACACTACAGCACGTATCCAGACCCCGTCCCCGGCACCCCTGCAGGCTGTTCCCGATTTCCGGATGGACTCCTACATGAAGCATGTCGCACAGGCTTTCCGTGCGAGCTGGGCGGATCAAAGCGAGGAGACGGATGAGGAAGAGGCTTTGGAGGCGCATGCGCGGGGGAGGCAGATGGAGGCGCGCGCAGCAGTGCGCCTACAGACCCCCTCACCACAGCCCCCTCCCGTCCCCGACTTCCGCATGGACTCCTACGTGCAGCACGTCACGCAGGCTTTCCACGAGAGCTGGGCGGATCAAAGCGAGGAGACAGCGGAGACAGAGTCACGTGATTCGGAGAAGACCTTGCAGTATCCACTCTGTGCATCCTTCGGCTCCCGAGGACATCCCTTTTCATGCAACCCTGCTTGCAAGTATGCGACGAAGGGCAAGGGTTGCAAGGACGGTGCCGACTGTGATCACTGCCACCTTTGCACCTGGAAGAAGTCCGTCGCCCAGCGCAACACTCGTCCGGCCGGACGCCCTCGCAAGCCCAGGCAGAGCCGCGGCCAGTGAGGTCTCAAGAACCCGTTCTGGGCGATACCACGCCAGTCTGCAAATGCCAAGTTCGGGGAGGTCCCTGATCCTCGAAAGCGTTTATCAGTTAGGCAATATAGGTCTTAACCATGCCTCTAGCTGTTTGGGCCCCTTCCCAATCCTCTTGTGCATGGCTGCCGCCGGGAGAGCTTTTACACTTTCTGTTTCGGGTTCAGGGCCATTCATGCAGAGCCTGCAGGAAAGGCATGGACGTCATTCGGCATCCACAAAAAGTTGTTTTCAAGCTGCATAGCTAGTGTTGAGAGCTCGCCCCGGCTTCTTCCCATGAGCAGTTTCAGTCTGTCAGTGGCGCATCCTTTGCTTGGCTTCTACGGAACACTCCGCCAATGCTCATCGTCAACTGCGTGTGTGTGTGTATATATATATATACATACACATACATATAAGTGCAGGCAGAGACGGCAGCCACTGGAAGACTGGTTGCAACCTGTCTGTTGGTAGCGCGCTTGCCATTACGCGGGTCTTACACAGATAGGTGCGAGAACCCGCCAAAAGGCAGGAGAACTGCAGAAAATGCCTAGACGAAACTCCATGCCTCAAGCGAGTGCTTTGGAATCTCAGGCCAGTGATAGAGCAATAGTGCAAAACCTATGGAATTGTGGAAAGTTGTGTGTGGGTTTAGGCCCCTTGATCCTCTGAGCAGTCTTATCCCAACGGGGATCCAGCCCATGTCTTCGTCAAAGAGCTGGGACCTTTCAGCATAGCTTTGCGCAGATGGGTGAACCTTGCTGTCATTGCTGACCGATACACTGCAGGATTCAGTGTCTATCTCAGACCTGTTCTGGTTTGGAAGTAGGCTGCATGCTCACCCGTGCAATCACATGCACAGTGGCATTCCCGACCGGGAGTACGTTTTGTGGTGCCTCGCAGATATGGCTGACGGCTTGTTTGTGAGGCGTCGATTCATTACCGCGCTTCCTCCGTCCCTGGGATATGATTGTCACTAGCTGCTCTAGCTTAATCGGTTCACATTGAGCAATTTAGAGTGTATGGGTGGACATCCGGACAGGAAGCGGCCATGCACACAGCTTGAAAACGGTTGCATCGACGGTCCGTCGACAGTGTGGAGCGCAGTCCGGACTATCGCATGAGGCTCAGAGCCGGTCGGGAGACCCTCTTCTCCCTGTCGGCCGCTTTTCTCTCTGGTGTGACGCCTCGAGCTGTTGGAAGACAGCCTAGGAATCGGAGAGTCTCACAAACATGGAGGCGGGACCCCGAATAGCTGAATAGCCAACGGAGGCCCCGAAATCACCCGATGTCGCAGCTATCAGACACCAGTCGCAACCTGACATTACACACACACACATATATATATATACACATACATATACACATTAAAGCCACATCATGACAAGACAGACAGGCAGAGACCAAGACAGCGGGACACACACACACACACAAACGCATATGCATGTATGCAGCATCTATGTATGACACACATCCATATGTATGTATGTATGCATGTATGGCATGTATGCATGTATGTATGTATGTATGTATGTATGCATGTATGTATGCATGCATGTATGTATGTATGTATATATAGTATACATAGCTGCACCGTCACCAGGACTTTGAGAGGCTCCCTTGTGTTTAAGCTATCTTTCATGGTGCATCGCCGCTTGAGCCTTGCATCTACCGCGCGGTTCTCAGGGGGGTATAGGGATGCTCTTTGCCCTCAGCCTGCGCATGTGTCGAGTTTAATGTCTCGAAAGTTGAGCTTACAGCATTGCGCCGTACAGCCTATCCACCCCGGATGAATCTGTGCCGCCCACTCGAAGCAGCGATGGCGGCCACTGTTGCCCCAGAGAAACAAGGCAATGAGTTCGCCACGCATGAAAAAAGGCCGGAGCTGCCGGCGCTGCATACTGCAGAAAGCACAAGCTACACGGATAAGCCACTGAAATATCGAAACCTGTTTATAACTCATCAGAATTATTTTGAGAGCCCTCTACAGCTTTGCTGTGCCCTGCAGGCTTGCCCGAAAGTGGCAAAGGGCACCCTGAGCTCGGCACACAACTTGTGGGTACATGATGGCCAGTGCACGCTGAGGCCGCTTTCAAGGCTTTAGGGTTTTTGGGGTTCAAGGTCTGAGGAGTTGGATGGTTGTGTTGCTGCGAGCTTTCAGCTTGTGTTTTATATGTGGCTTGTGGGGTCTATGGGGCTTACGACCATTTTTATCCAGGATTGCCATCCAGCTGTGGTAACACTATTCTTGTTACGGCTGTTGCTCGTGGAAGTTTAGGGTTTATAGTGCTTGGGGCTCGGGCTTCGGGCCTGACTTGAAGTTTAGGTCGGCTTTATTGCATGAGACCTCATTGAGTCAGCGAGGCGCGGTGCCTCGGATTAGGGTTGAGGGTGGGTCTAACCCCTTGTCATAAATGTCGGATCCTCTCGAAGATTCTGCTTCTTCGGTAAAGGCTGAGTATGTGCTTGCTTTTCTTCTAGGAGTTGAGAAGGTGTGGTATGTCTTGGCTCAGACAGTACGCACTGCAAGCCAGGATCAAGGAAATTACAGGGCACACCACTTCCCAGTCTAGCCCGAGCGGTTCCCGCCAACTACCCTTTACCGACTTGTCTACTCATATGATAGCCCGTAGCCTGCAGAGTCAGAACTGTGTGACGCCGCCGCTGATGCCTGGGTGTGTTTGAATACTGCAGTGTTTGGTTGCCGGCAGGGCTGCAAGGATTTGGAGCTTAGGGTTCCTTCAAAAAAAACTGAGCCTGTTGGTTCAAACGGGTTCCTAAACCCATGAACCTTTAGACCCACAAGCTGCCTGCAGGCTGCTGCACTACCCGCCGGTCAAGCCTGACCCAAAGCTGAGATATGCTTGGTCATAAGACATATATATATACATACATACATACATACAATTTCGGGGAAGTAGCAGTGGAGCAAACTTCGAAGTAACGAAGAGCCCTGAAAAATGTCTGCAACACCCACAGCCCTCAAGAAGAGATGCGTAGCCTTTTCCCCAAGACTGTTTGAAGTTTAAGCCCCGGCGGTCCTACCCCAAAAAGACTGAAGAATCAAAAGGGACTTCGAGATTCGACAGCCGCAGACCCTCTAGCCCCCAAAGAGTTGGAAGTTCAGTTGTTTTGAAAAACCCAGCACGACATTCGATCGCCCGTGCTCGCTGAGCAGCCAAGTTGATGCGCACTGGTGCCCAAGACATACCAAGACTAGTCTCATCTAGGCTTCTTCTGTCGTCGTATGTCGTCGTCGTTGTTATTTTCCATTTTCCACTGGGAGGAACCCCACGTCGCATGAAAGTTGACTGCTTTCCAAGGTTGAGGGTGCTGGCAGGACATGGGTACTCGGTGCACTTTGGGGTAATCTCACTGGCGTCCCAGTTCGTCATCTGTGCATTCCGGAACACGCTGCTTGAATCAACACGTTTGCGCTACGAATCAAGGGTTTGTGCCCGAACGACGCCGAGGAAACGCTTCCACCCAACTACTGGCGGGCAGGGCCACACACAGATTGGTGTGCTTTGACGCTTCTGTTCCAGCTTCCTGGACGCATGCGGTTTGGTGGCTTGCTTTGGTAACTTGTGCGTCAGCTTACGGCACAACTGTGAGGATATTGTGAATTATACTGCACATGGGCTTGTGCGGCTGCCACGAGCGATAGCGGGGTTGATGTTGTTTGAGGTTCATGTAGTCAAAGTCATAGAAAACTTTATCATTTTTATCGCGGCTGTGGTCTTTATCATATTCGTTTGTTCTGATCGCGGTTACACTGATGTTGAAGCATCCGGCTGCTGCCTTTGTCAGATTGGAGCCAGGAGAGGGCTGTGGCGACGATGGGGTGATGTCGAATGTAGTAGGGTGGCACCCCTGTAGCTGACGATTGCGACTGGTGCGATGGCATGTGCAGTACGGCGGGGCTTCCTACTGTCGTTGCTTGCATTGGTTGAGGTCGTGGTGGTTTTGGTGCTCATCGATTGCAATTTTAAGGTTGCTGCTGCTGCTGCTTGAATTTTTGCGCCGAACGTTTTCCGAGACACCATAAACACACGAGCCACATGGGAGGGCAGGGGGGATTGCCTTTTTCAGGCCATCCAAATTACATGTTACTTGCGGACCGATGGGACATGCAGGCTGGGAAATGCACAGCGCAAGCAATGATCCCAAAGCGAAAAAGATTGGGCGCCCACAATGCAGTTCGCAGGAAGGAGACGACCCTGCGAAATGTGTGTTCTTTGTGCCATGCTGCCACAGAGAAAATGCCGTGTGCAAACACTGCTCCGCTCCCAAAACAAGAGATCCAGCATGCATTCATCCAGGCTTGGAAAATGCTAACCTGCCAAAGAGAATGCTTCGCCTCGCCTTTGTCCCAAAACGGCCCAAAACGACAAGAGCCTGCAGCATCCGTTTACCAATGCTGGGACAAGGCATTGTGCCAACCTGCCAGAGAAAATACTTAGAGCAGGCAGTGTTCCCAAACGACAAGATCCTGCAAAATGCGTTTTGGGCACCTACCTGCAAAACCCTGCGCTTCCCTGGCAAAGAAACTTTCTCCCGAAACCAACATCCTGCAAAATGCATCTGGTCGCCAGCAACACGCATTTCCAGCTGCCGAGCTGCGAAAATGCACCGTGCCAGCAGTTTCCACCCCCCCTTCAACATGCGCAAAGTGCTTTATAACATGCAAATTTCCAACATGCATGTGTCTTACCGAACTCAGTATGCCGATGCTCTGAGGCATCCAACTGTGCTTTTTCGGGCTGCTGCAAACGCACTGGGGTTGTGGGGTTGGTGGGCAAGGATATATTCTGATGCTATTTACAAGCGCACTGAACAAGGGCACTGAGCAAATTCTAGTGAAAGCACCGCTTGAGAACAACTTACTCGTAGGTGTTGCTGGTGTCGTTGGTGTTGCTGTTTTTGCTGTTTCTGTTGCTGTCGGTGTTGCCGTTGCTGTTACTGCTGCTGTTGCTGTTGCTGTTGCTGTC